CTTTTAGAAAGGGAAAGAAAAACATTAGGGGAACAACATGCAGATCTAGAACATAAAAAGCATTATGTGGCATAAGTAGAAGAGTGTGTGTACTAATATTTTGATGGCAGAAGTGGTGCACTGCATATTGTTCTTGGAAGCTCTTGTTTTTAAACTGACTTGCAGAATCACATAAAAAATAAAACGAAGCATACTCAGCTTTGTGCAAGAAATGCTTGGCTTGTATGCTGCAAGATCAATACCGCAATGGCACAGGCAATTTGCTGGCAGTGTTTCTTTTTTAACAGCTCTGCTTGTGAGATATAAAATGGTACATAAAATGTGAAGATATATGCATTTTTATTTCTTTCTCACACTATTTTGCAAATTTATTTTCTTAAGGTCTGTGTTTATAGAGTACTACAAAATGGATCCTGTAAGATCCCTTGCCTGTTAGGCTGGAGCTGCTTTTGTAAAATGAAAAGTAAAAGTTCCAAAGACTCTAGAAATTCAAAAGAAGTGTATATTTTTTGTTTCAGTGGATTGGGACATAATCAGTGAAGTTCTGCCTTGAAACCTCTGTGGTTTAGAAGAAGGGGATTTGCACCTCAGGGTTCGACATAGGCAACAGTGACAAAATAGAAGTGTTCTGCAAATACTGAAAAATCCATGGACTTCCTTCCATTAATGGAAATCCTCAGAATGGCTTGTAAGGAAATCCAAAGGAAGAGGCTTGGGAGGGTCTGCAAGGTTCCCACAGGGGAGTCTGAGGGCTGAGCTGCAGAAGACAAGAATTTCCGATATTTGTCTGTTCTGCTTTCCATGTCAATCTCTTGGTGACTGGGTTTTACCCAGTTTCCTGAAGTCAAGGATAGAACCTGGATTTAGAGCCTGTGAGGTGAAATGCATCAAAGTCCCATTTCTGTCTTATTTCTTAACCAGCTCTAAAGTCAGCTGCTTGTTTTGACTGGCTGTCCTTGAGTACTAACAGGAATGTGACTAAGCAGCACAGCCTTTGAGCCTATTGGTTGTTCTTGTGTAGATCCAATTGAAAGGAAAATTAAATTAGTGCTGTTTATGTTTGGAGAGTGGTGTGAAGCCTTGAAGCAATTTTGTTTGTTTATTGCCCTGAGCTTTGTCCCTAAGGGAAATGGTAATTCTCTGATGCTGTCTGCTAGGTGCAGAATTGAAGAAGTCAACAATTTCATAATGTTTAAAAAAATTTTCCATCAGACTTTCTGGATCTTGCAAAGTGAGCTTTGGTTTTAATGAAGTTTAAGATTGGACAAAAAGTATGTAGAAGTTTAATGTACTGTGCCAAGTCCTTCCTTGACACAATCTGATTTCTCTTTCTGTATTTTTAGGAACACTGAATTCTCAGGTCCTTTCTTAAGCCATTAAGGACTGGTATGAGTCAGAGTAACTTTATATCTTTCAAGCAGGTACCCTTGGTTTAAAAAATTGCTTTTAAAGTTATGCTTTTATAGTACCTTTTATAAAGAAAGTTTGAATTGTCATAGTTACATCATGTGATTTTTTTTTTTTTGCAAACCAGGGAGACATACTACAGCTGTCTTCATATAAACAGTGGATAAATCAGCAGAGTGCTACTTGGACTCTTACATTTCTAAATATGTTAGAAAATGCCATGAGTTACGTGTATTATTTACCAGCTGGGGATTAATTTTTTGAGTCATGCTGCTGAATCTGCATGAATATTAACTTCAGTTGTAGAGATCAAAGGTGATGAGATGTGATGCAATAGTGTTGCCTCTTCCCCACTTGGGTACTGCTGCCTACAGAGGACAGAATTCCTTTGTCATACCAGCCTGGTGGATCTGCGGGGAAGGGAAAAAAGGGTTTGAATTGGTTCCCTGACTTTGAACCAATTATTGACCTCTAATACTCAAAAAAGAATAATTGAAGTGTTCTTTTTGTGCCCGTGGAGGTGGTCCCACTTTCGAGAGTCCACTTGGCAGTGCACCAAGTCCTGGTGCACCAATTTCTGAGCTGATGACTTGAACCATTTCAGTGACACGAATTTCTCACACCCAGGGAGAAAATCCAGACTGTCTGCATGTTTTGCTTCAATGAAATCCTTTATTAAACAGCTGGTAGTGTATTATCCTTTTTATAAGCTATGGTTTCAAACTGACTTTGGAACAGTATTTTAAGAATTTAAATTTAAATAAGTAGACTATGAAAATGTGAGAGAAATAATAATTTATATTAGCTTCATTCCATTCCACCCCTCTTCCGCTGAAGTTCAAGTCTTGTTCTAGAAATCAGCAGATGATTTTAGAAAGGCTCCAAAACAAAGTCTCTCTTTGCACAGTTGCTTGCAGTTTTCTTACATGATTTTTCTGAAGATGTGATGAGCCCCCAGAACAGGGCAGTCTCTTTGGAGGAGGGAGAATCTCTCTCACTTCATACTCAAAGTGATGGCAACATGTCCTGCTGCTCTGCCACAAGTGCTTAAGCATAAAAATGCTTGTGCTCAGGGCTGCAGTGAGATTCTCTGTCCTGTTCTGTTTCTGTATGGAAATCTTGCCTCTCAGAACTTCAGAAAGCTTTTATATTAGTTTTAGAGATATAAGAAAGAAAATATTTTTCATTTCTGCATAATACTCCCAAATAATGTTAGTAATATGGTTAAGAAAATCCTATAAAACAAAATTTGGAGGTAATTACATTTTATCTTATTATTTCTAATCCCAGGAGTACAGCTGAGTTGCTTAAACGTGTGTCTGTGTACATAAGCTCTACTTGCTCTGTGTGAATTTAGATGGATTATTTTTTGTATGTCTGATGTTCAGAAGAGACAACTGAAATGTTCTGGATGAAGCTTCTCCAAGTCAGAATCCATAGATTATGTATCAGTTTTCCTTGTTGTCCTGATTTACTTCACGCAAATCCATAATCAAAGCAGAAGTTGTTTATGTTGAACAGCAAATTAATAGATTCACTTAGCGGTGATTACTTCTAAATGCAAACACTTCTCACAAGTGTTCTAGGTAACATGAGAAAATAAGTTTTACAAAGTCTGGATGGAGCTATTTTTCCTTATTAGCAACATCTAGTGCTTTTTTGTCTGGACATGAAATTGCATTGGATTTGGCATTTGTTAACTTCAGAGAATGTGAGAGAGGAACAACAAATGAATTTTTAAGTACATCAGATTAGTGGCTTGTATGTCTGTATTAAGTCAAACATGCTGGATGGGATAAGGACATTGGTCTGTGAGCTCTGTTGAGCTGTCATTTCTGCCCAGGCCTTTTTGCAGAGTAAGGAGTATTCTGTCTGAGTTTGCCTTGTGGTATTGGACCTCTAATAAATAAAATGTAGTCCTGAAAAAACATGCCATGTGAAGCCAAAGGAGCTGTTCAAGTTTGGGTGGGCTGCTGATGTCAGAGAGGAATGTGCCCAGTGGTTGTGGGTGAAGAGCAGATTCAGGGAACTGGCTTGTGTTTGTGTTGGCTTGGTGCTCAGACATTCCTCCTCCTCCCCACACCAGTTCCCAGCTGCGTTCCTGCCAGTCCTACCAGCGTCCTCAGCAATGTTCCTGGGGGCTTCCTTTGCTGCTTCCATGGAAGCCATACAGAAACACTCCATCAAATGCTTCATCAAACAAGTTGAGTGTCCTTTTATGTGTTCGCTTTGTGCCATTCAAGCTTATACTCAGATGTGGTGACCTGCAAGCTATAGGAAATATAGCTATAGGTCTGGAAATAGAGAGAAGCATTTAAAAAGAAGTAAAATAGGTTTGTTGGCATGTTGAGCTTTAGGTTTCTCCATTCATTATTATTTTTTAGTTTTGCTGTTGAGTTTCTTTTCAGGGCATCTTTTTGAAACTACAACCTTGCACATGGACAGCCTGACCCTACTTCTCATTGCCCAATAAATTAGTGTGCTCAGAGCATCAGTTGTAAAATATCCTGTTTCTTAGTTAAATAACTGCAGTGCTTTAAAGGCTTTGGAACAAAAAGCCTTACAGTGTTTCATCGTTCTACCAAAAAAGTCTTTGTGTGGTTTTAACATTACTAATAGGGAGAGATAATTTACCATCTTCTGGCAGATTCCTGGCTTGGCAGATCAGGCTTTCCTCACACAGGAACTCAGGTTACAAACGCCCAGTGGCAGCCAGCCTGTAAAGGAGGTATCTGCAGGGCAGGAGTCCCAGTGGCCTGAGTTTCCCTGGGGCTATGTCCCTGCAGAACAGGGGGGTCAGAGCCACACCTTGCTGGGCTGGTGTGGCCCTTGGGTATCCTCTGCCAGATGCTGCCCTGCTGAGCTGGTCTGGAATTCCTCCATGTGGAATTATTGGCTCTGGCAGTGTTGTTGCTGCTGGAGGTCTGTCCATGTGTAGCATTTCCAGAGGTGAATGAAACCCTCTGTGTCTCCACTGAGAGTAGCTTTTGTCACCATAGCTTGAATTTTCCCACAGACCTCTAAATCAATAAATTGTGTTCTGCTGCAGCATAAAAACCGTGAATCTTCTTGTTGAAGTCAAGGTACTGTGTTCCTTATGCAGCCTTTAATTAGGAAAACGTGAAAAAATAAATAGCTGTTACAAAAACATGCTGACCTACAAGTGGATTCTGTCCTTGAGAAAATCCATTTCTGGAACATTCTTGGCACGCTTTGTTAGATCAAATTCTGGATTAAGTTTTTACTTGTTGCTCAGATCAATCCCTTGTTTTGGAGGGTGTTCCCTGGAAGGTTACCATCCTCTGCTTAAAGTTCAGCAGAAGTAATTCAGGGGATGCACACGTATGTCCTTTGTAAAACATTAGAGGATTTCTAGGATGATAAATTTTGTAAGTATTTACATTGCAGTTTGGGATGCACTGATGCTGTGAAGGTGTGAAGATTAGAGGCAACATTGAAACGATTTTACTCATTTACATGCTCTCTTTGTATGTTTTTTAATGTAAATTTACAATACTTGATTTTCAGGTAATTTAAATGTGTGTTTAAATGTGGTTTTTGATGCGCAATTCTAAACTATTGCCCTTTGTCAGGTGGCCATGGCCAGAATTGGGCTTAGGGAAGGCCGCTCAGAGGATGCGTGTGAGACGCTCCTGTTCGCCCTGCGCATGGCCACGTGGAACCAGATCCTGGACCCCTGGGTGTACATCCTGCTGCGCAAGGCTGTCCTCAGGAACCTCTGCAAGATCACCAGCGGCTGCTGCGGCGTGCACGTCATCAACTTACACATGTGGGAGCTCAGCTCCATCAAGAATTCCCTGAAGGTTGCAGCGATATCAGAGTCACCAGGAAGTTCCAAACAGATAAACCTCCAGCCTCTCAGCTCCATGGGACGATAAAGTTGAACTGAAAGTTAAACTGAAGTTTAACTATGGAGAGATGATGGAGGCAATGCTCCTACATGGGCAGTACTTTAAAATGAATTCCAAGGCTCAGTGGTTTGGCATTTGTTTTAAATTGTGAGTGGTTTGCTACTGCTGCTTACCAGTTTGATATTGCTACTCCAAAAGATGCCCTTGAATGTTTTAATTCACTTCAGTACATGGAAGGGAAAAATACAGATGATTTAACATTCCAGTACCAGATTTGGAAGGGATGTATTCTAAAGTGAAAAGGGCCCCTTATAAAACTCCCCACCAAGCCTTTCACATTGACAGGCTTTTTAAAAGGGCAGAAGTGATCTCCAGGGTGATTTTTAAAAGGGGTAGATTTTTTCTACCAGAGATACCCTCAAATCCTTTGCAGAGTCACTGTTTTCTAGAATAAAGTCAAGCATCCTTTCCATAAGAGTATTCTGTGCTTCTAGGCATTGAATTTACCAATTGTATATATAAAAGACATTTTGCTTATGCCCAGTTTATTAAATGATCCACTGTGCTTGGTTCATTGACTTGATCTCTTAATTATTTACTGTTCCATGAGTTTTTGGGAGAGCTGTGAACTCTGCATCAGTGTTAGTGTTCCTTTGAAATCACTGACAAAACCTGAGGTTCCCTTTGGGAACAGAGAAGCAGATGAGCTCAGCTTCCTTACAGTTATGTTTTGAGGTGTATTGGTGAGCTTTTAGTCCTTTCAGCAATTCTGTTGAAACTAACAGGCATAAAGCAGTGGTTAGTCTGTGAAAACAGTAGTTTCCCCCTCCCTCCTGAATTGAAGGGTGATCCTGGCAGCGTTTCCCTGGTGCTTGTACTGAAATACCCATGTGGTACATCTGCTTCATTTGTCGAAGGTCACATGTGTGTTGTGAACGTGTGTGACCAAATGAGCACCTCTGCAGGGAACTGCTTTGGGAGCAGGGTTTAGTGTGTGAGAGCAAACTGAATGCTCAGTTTTTGCAGGGTCTGTGTCTGAAGAGCTGAGAGCATTCAATAACTTGAAGGTACCAGAAGATTTTCAGGACAGCTTCACACAGAAGGCCCTTCACCTTTAATGCTGCTAAAAGAAGCTTTGGTTTTTGTGACTGTATGCTGTTCAGAAGCCAAAAATGAGAGATATTGTTTTAAGATAGGTCTGTGTTATTTTTACCTACTTAACTTCAAATAACTACATTAGTGAAGTGTTGGTATATTTGAACAAAGTAGTTAAAAACAGATTCACTAAGAAGACAGTCTGAGGGACCAAAACTATTCACAAAGTACAAATTCATATTGTATGTGAGAATAGTTTGTAAGTCAGAAAATAAAAACCCAAAAGGTTTAAATGTTTCTTTTTTTTTTTAAATTTTTTAAAGCTATTTCCTTTTTGTTTTAAAAAGGTTGAAAAATAAGTGGGTTAAATAACCCTGTACTAAAATGGCTTTATTTACCCTGAAGAATTTCTGTATGTGATTTTTTTTCTCAGTCATAGGGCTGATAAATGGTGGACAGATTTGATGCTGGTATAAGTTCTGCACTATTGCTTCATGTGAGTTCTGCTGAAATCTGGAAGCATTCAGTCAGTGCTTAACGTGGCTTTTTCATTTTGTAGAATGTGATGTCAGTGTATCTGTTGACGTAAATTATTTGTTCCCTATGGAAGATTGTTGTTTTAGCAGCTGCAAAATAATGTTGGTCCGTAAATTCTTGAGATATTTGATTCGTGAATGAAGCTTGAAAATGTTCCATTTTGTTGTGTGAATAAATAAATGTAGCTTATGTTGTTCACTCTGTTTGGCTTGTAAAACAACAGAGCAAAGTTTATATGTATATGTGATTTCTTATATTTTGTGTACTGATACACATTGACTGTAAATTGCAAAGCCTCATTAAAGTTACCAAACTGTATCCTGAGAGTTAAGGTGCTTTTGTGTAACCAAAAAGATGATCCTGAGTTATTAAAAATAATTCTTATGACAAAAAGCATCACACTGGATTCAAGCCAACCACTACCATTCCTGTGTGTGAAGGCAGAGGAGAGGCCAGTGGGAATTCGAGTTAGAGGTGCCAGTGCTTGCACATGGCCAGGGCAGGGTGGTCTGAGGCAGTTCTGATAACCCATGCTTAGAAAATGCAAATAAAAGTGGAACTGAGGTAGTTTGGTGCTTGGGATGAAAGTGTTTTTATCCAAGTATCTGCCTGTGTTTCACATACACTATGAAAAAATGGTGAGTTTTGCTGTTGCTATTTTGCCTTGCTCAGTGATGTGGCAGCCTGCAGAGGCAGCTCAGGATACAGTCACCCAAGGACCTGTTACACTGAAAGTGATTGGATTGTCATTGCATTTCATTTCATCTCACAGAAGAGCCAGCAACGTGCTGGGTTGTATGATTAGCAAGTTATATGTTTTATGGAATATGAGATTATTAAAAAACCAGTGGGATGGCTTCACATTAGGATGTGAGCATTGCCCAGGCAGGGAGCAAAGGACAGTGTGCTTAGGGATGTGCTGATGGTCTCTTTAGAAGTTGGCTAACGATGCGAGCAGTCGTGAGCTGCCTGTTTACTGCTGGCAGTAATTAGTGCCTCCAGAGCAGGCAGGGGCAATAAGTGCTCTGGTGGGAAGAAAGTGAATCTCATTTCTGACTAATGACTGAGGAAATCCTCAGGGTGGGAGAATATTTTAATCTAATTGGGATTTTAAGCAACAGCAGGCTATATAAGGAAGCACTTTATCCTGAAATGAAGTCCTAGCCTGGGCTGAGCCAACGTGCTGAGGAAAGAAACCATCAGTAACCAGTTGCTCATCACAGGGATTATGCAATACCTGTAGTTTGTTACCTGGATACAAAGATGGAGAGCAAGGTTCAAGGTCTTTTAGATGTGATTCTTGAGACAAAGGGTTCACCTTGTGGGTTTATTATCAGATTTCTGTGTATTAAGTGTTCCTATTCAGTTTGATATGTGAGCAGCAATTTCAGGAATAGCAATATGTACCAGTCCTGTAGCCATGGTGATCCTTTAGGACAAGATGTTGGGACCTTTCAGATGTGCCTTACCTGCATTGCACTGCTCCAGGATGCTACAGGTAACTCAGAACTTCACTGAATAACAGCATAGATTGGAATGAGATTTAATTTTCTTGGGAAAATGCTCAAATGCCAAGGGAATTTACAATGCCTCTGGTGACTTTTATTGCTTCCTTAAAAAAATCAATGCTTTTCAGTTTTAGCTTCTGCAATCTGCCATCATAAAAAATGGTGGTCTTTCATTTCAGCAAACAACTTTCTGTTAAGGGTTGCTGCATGATATTGAAGAAAGTATTTTCTCTTTTAACAGACAATGTTTTCCTGCTGAATGTCAGTTAATTTTGATATTTACTAGGAAATTTTAAAATATTAATAGTGTAATGCTGTTTCAAAAGGGAGGTAAAAGAGGGGCTGTTTAAAATGCATTTTGTGTTCTTGAGATAACCTCAAGTTTACTGCTATGGTGAGGAATAGCTGCAAGGAACAAACCCAATCATGAGTTCCAATACCCCTTGGCCATCAGCTTCTATTGAGGTTGTATCTCAGTTGGAAAATATTGCCCATTAAAGCTGTGCTGATTGGTTCAATAACAACATGCTTTTTATTCTCATAAAATGGCTGTTTATAGGTGTGTTGCTCCTTACCAGTGGCTGCAGCAGTGTGGGAGTGGTGGTGGCAGGTATTGTGTGTCTTGGACACTGGAGCTGGGCAAACAATGGTTAGAATATTATATTTGCTTCTCTGCATGGAACAGCCCCTATCACAACTTGCTTTCTGGTGGCCATTAATACATCCAGTGGGATAATTTGGAGGGAGACCTTCTTATGTTCTAAACAGATCAATTCAGATCATCAAGTAAAGTGCTCTCCCTACACCAAAATGGTTGCTGTTGATTTTACTCAGTTGTTTTGGGACCCCATGCCCTTGGTGGGAGGAGGTCAGGCTAATGAGCAAGACCCTACACTTGCTTATCATTAGAGATCCTTGAATGTAACTCACAGGTTCTTTAACTCATAGTTTCTTCAACTCATGGTTTCTTCAGGCTTTCCCAAGCTTTTCTGGTTATTTCATTAGGTCTCATTTTTTTTTTGCTGAAGGCTGAAAAGCAATGACACTTGCATGTCTTTATCATCTGTTATTGGTAAGTACTAACCCATACTTTTTCTGTTTTCCAGTTCACTTCAACAGTGTCTGGGAAATCAAAGCCTGTTTGCAGTCTGACCCTTTTGTAGCTGATGCTCAGCTTTTGTGCAGATGGGTGCAATACACACGTGTGGTCCACAATTTCTGGCTCAAGTATCTTGAATGCTCTCTGTGAGTACAAAGTTTGTTGGTTTGTGATTTTTTTGTTCCCTTAAGGGTTGCCATAGGAAAAAGTTCCATGTGGGGAAATGCAGAAGTGATTTTTGTTTAGAAGAGGTAGGCAGGGAAGTCGAGGAACAGATCTGCTGGTGGAAACAGGGATTTGGGCAGAGCCTGAAAATTGTGCAAGCCCTAAACCATGAGGTCTTAGTCAGTACAATTTATTCATAAGAAACAGAAAACAAACAAACATAATATTTGCAGCAAGTTACAGGAAGAATTAATAACACAAAAATGCCAAAGGTTGGGTGAATGACAATTGCTTGCTGTAATAGATGTGACCCTCCTCGTGTGGGGAAAAGCTTCCTGTAAACACTTGAGGAACTCCAAGTGGTGATGCTTTAAGAACAAACCCACTTGTCCCTTTCTACTGCCTCCTGTAAACAAAATGACGTCTAGAGTGATTGGACAATGGTTAAATATTAAAAATATAATTTCAAATGCAATTTTAATTGTTTATAATTAGGATAAGTTAAAGATGACACGTCTATGAAAGACTTGGTTTCTTAGCAACACATTCATGGAGTCTTTAAAAAAAGTTCTGTGGCTGCAGGAATATAAACATGTATCTATCTAGCTGTTTAATTTCAGCACCATGGTTGCAAAATAAATACTTTCTACAGAAGTTTATAAAAATAAATCCATTTCATTTTTTTTTTAAACAACCTTACTTTCAGTAGGAGGTTAGCAAGTTAAAATATTGAGGCAAAAAATTGTTACAGTATAACATCCCTACGAAGCAGCTGCCCTTCCCAGGGAAATTTATGTGTGTGTATCTAATTTCTTCTGAAGGCAGAAAAATACTTTGAATTCTGTTGTAATTCATAAAAAAGATATTTGTAATCTGAATCAATTTCTTTTTTGGATTGCATCTTTCAGTCCTATTTTCACTTCAGGCATGCTGAAGGCAGAGCTGTGGGAAGTGAGGGCTCCAGCA